AAAATGTAAATGACTTTTCAGTGACCAATACTTCAGCCCTTCAGCGGGAGGCTGTGGTGTGTGCTATAGTGCATTGCATAACCGTTTCTGCCTGGAAAATACCCTGTCTTCAGACGGGTATTTCCCGAGCACAGCACACGATAATGCACCATAGCCAGGGGCAGCATACACGAGATCATACGCTATACAGCATATCGAGCGTTAAACCACTTGGCGATCTGATTATCAGCACGAGTGCAAAGACTCTGCTTTTTCAGTGACGTCAGCAGAAACACGAATGAATTTACAGAATTAAGCCAAAATTAGAAGAAGGGAGGAGGCCACTGTGCGCAGTGGCACCATGCAAACAAACGCAGCGCTTTGATTTCTGCCGGAATGCTGAGGAATTTGCAATTTTCCCGGGAAATTCAGAAAGTTTGCCCCTAATGTAGCGTTAATTGCCTTATTATTGTGTGAAGGAGATCCCGGTAACTGCTGCCGCCGGTGGTTACACGCCCTACATCACCGGTGCGAGCGCTCAACACAAGCAAATAGTCAAAACAGCGAAGAAAAACTGCAGAATTTAACCCACTACCTCCCTGACTGAACGAAATCACGAGGAAAAAAGAGCAGTCGTTGTAATATGCAATTATAAATGGATGAGGGTAATTACCTTTGTCAAGCCTCAGATCCGAAAATCACTGGACAGGGAGGGGCTCAGGAGTGATGAAAATGTTTTTCCTTCTTTATCTCACCAATCTCGTCCACCCCATCACCCCCCAACCCGACAACTAGAGACTTCAATGAGGCCGATTCGGGAGTGGGCTGAGGACTTTCGGTTGATGTCGGGTTTGTGGACCATTTCATTTCGGCTTTGCTCGGAAAGCTTCGGTAGAAAGCGTCGATTCTGGCTCGGAGCCACAAGAAACCGCTCTGCAGTTTAACCTCAGGCTACCATCACACATGCACGATTTCTCCAGCCTGTTGTTCAAAATTACCATCGAAAACAATTTTATGTTAATTTTTTTTGCATTAACATTTTTCGTACATTTACATAATTATTATTTTATAGCATTTATTTCCAACAGCATGTGCTCGTCTCTTATTTTGTTCAGTTACATTAAAGCGCTTTGTTCCTTTGCAGTCAACAAGATTTACATAAAAACACAGACATATTTAACCCATGAAGTGGTAGACAACTACAAATCAAAAATGAAGAAAGCCAATTACACGAAGTGACAGTCACGCCTTTTAAAATCAATATTAAGTGGCATGTGAATGGGCTCCTGTTAATCTCAAGCACAATGTGATTAACACGCTGCAAAAAAAAAAGAAAACCCCTTAAGCTGTATAAAACATGCAGAAGCTTTTGCAGTGTCATTAAAACGCCTTTTGCTAGACTGAGTCGGTAAAAAGATTTGCATTATGTTCTAATGAAGACATTAGGCAGCTTCGTACTGTTAACTGTCACAGTGCACACATGGAGCTCCAGTGCTGCAATAATAAAAGTTCCTCTGTTGTGTATTAATGCAAATATTCAGCATTTGCATTAATATGCTGCAGTAAATTCAACAGATATCCTAAAGATCTACAGATAACATGATGCTAATGTGCATTGCAAAGGCAGAAAATTATTAACCAATAGATGTAGGGCAGACAAAAATAGAAAGCAGATTGGCATATTAGTTATTAATATAAGAGAGCTGGTGCAAATCAGATCAAGTTTCTCAGTTTAAGCTGGCATCCTGTAATAA